TCCTGAAAGATGATGCTGTGAAAGTGCTGCATTCAATATGCCAGCAAATTTGGAAAACTCAGCAGGGGCCACAGGACTGGAAAAGGTCAGTTTTCATTCCAATCCCAAAGAAAGGCAATGCCAAAGAATGTTCAAGCTACCGCACAATTACACTCATCTCACACACTAGTAAAGTAATGCTCAAAGTTCTCCAAGCCAGGCTTCAGCAATACGTGAACCGTGAACTTCCAGATGTTCAAGCTGGTTTTAGAAAAGGCAGAGGAACCAGAGATCAAATTGCCAACATCTGCTGGATCATCGAAAAAGCAAGAGAGTTCCAGAAAAACATCTATTTCTGCTTCACTGATGATGCCAAAGTCTCTGACTGTGTGGATCACAATAAACTGTGGAAAATTCTGAAAGAGATGGGAATACCAGACCACCTGACCTGCCTCTTGAGAAACCTATATGCAGGTCAAGAAGCAACAGTTAGAACTGGACATGGAACAACAGACTGGTACCAAATAAGAAAAGGAGTATTTCAAGGTGGTATATTGTCACCGTGCTTATTTAACTTATATGCAGAGTACATCATGAGAAACGCTGGGCTGGAAGAAACACAAGCTGGAATCAAGATTGCCAGGAGAAATATCAATTGCCTCAGTTATGCAGATGACACCACCCTTATGGCAGAAAGTGAAGAAGAACTAAAGAACCTCTTGATGAAAGTGAAAGAAGAGAGTGAAAAAGTTGGCTTAAAGCTCAACATTCAGAAAACTAAGATCATGGCATCCGGTCCCATTACTTCATGGCAAATAGATGGGAAAACAGTGGCAGACTTTATTTTTATGGGCTACAAAATCTCTGCAGATGGTGATTGCGCCATGAAATTAAAAGATGCTTCCTCCCTGGAAGGAAAATTTTGACCAACCTAGACAGCACATTAAAAAGGAGAGACATCACTTCGTCAACAAAGGTCCGTCTAGTCAAGGCTATGGTGTTTCCAGCAGTCATGTATGGATGTGAGAGTTGGACTATAAAGAAAGCTGAGCACTGACGAATTGATGCTTTTGAACTGTGGTGTTGGAGAAGACTCTCGAGAGTCCCCTGGACTGCAAGGAGATCCAACCAGTCCATCTTAAGGAAGATTAGTCCTGGGTGTTCACTGGAAGGACTGATGCTGAAGCTGAAACTCCAGTACTTGGGCCACCTGATGCGAAGAGCTGACTCATTTGAAAAGTCCCTGATGCTGGGAAAGATTAAAGGCAGGAGGAGAAGGGGACGACAGAGGATGAGATGGTTGGATGGCATCACCGACTCAATGGACATGGGTTTGGGTAAACTCTGGGAGTTGGTGATGGACAGGGAAGCCTGGCGTGCTGCGGTTCATGGGGTGGCAAAGAGTCGGACACGACTGAGTGACTGAACTGAACCTGTGTTAGCTTCCCCTCAACCATCACCACCATGGTAGGATGCTAACTGTACTATTTACAGATCAGATTTGCATGTCAATAAGGCTACATTTACAGCCACATAGAGAATATATTAAGAAGTATGCCAAAGACAAGGAAATAACATGTAAGTTACTATAGGGGAAAAAAATTCTAAGTCTAAAATCTCAGAGAAAAAGTAATGATTTTAAAATTAGTATTTTTTCTATGTAACAAAACAGGGATTTAAAGAAACTCTCATTTACGTAACTTGCACTTGGCAGTCTGGGCTGGCGGGATCAGCCAGGCAGTCCTTCAGAGCGTGGCTGTGGTCTGGCTGGTGCAGGATGGCTCTGCCTCTGCTCCACATTCTCCACAGGGGCGGGTTTGTTCACACAGCAGCACAGGTGGAAAAGCACACAGCTCCACAGCCGAGAGCCTAAGCGTCCCTAATGTCACACTGCCCACATTCTTTCTAGCAAATCAACAAACAAGACCAGTTCCAGGTTTAGGGGATTGTAAAACAGATGGAGTTCCCGATGGGAGGAGCTGCAAAGTCACAGTGCAAAGCCCATGGGTACCAGAAACAATAGAGAACTACGGCTATTTTGCAATCCACCACCTGGAGCTGTCAGAACTGAATAATGAGAAGGAGGCCTCTAGGCAAATCGTTAAGACTGAGGCTAAGTTACAGAATTCTGGACTGAGTACACGTTAATATCATTCATTCCCTGAGGAGGGAAGAAAAATAAGTTTAGTTTTAAATATGCATTGGAAATGAATGCCAAACAGAATTTCAAACACAGATCTGGAGCTCAGAAATTGAGGTTTAGGTTGGTGCTATAGATTTGAGTATAGCTAATATCTGAAATAATGGATGTATAAAGTGGGAGTCCTAAACATGAAATCCCAGAGAAGACCACTATTTTAAAAAAGAGAAAAAAAACCTAAAGGAGAGTTAGGCAGTATACAAACCAGGCAGTAGTGATCTAAAAGCAGGAGAGAGTAAATAACATTCTCAAGTCTCACAGGGTAACATATCAATCTTACACTGATTACTACACTATTAATTTTGGCAAGTGAGCGGTTACCTTGGTGGAGCAGCAGATGAGGGAAAAGCAGACAATGACATCAAGGGTATTGCTACATGGCCAAAGTGAAAGATCACAGAAACTGGGGCAGATTGGGATGGAAATGAAGGTAATAAAGGAATGATAGTGAACAAACTGAGTGGTAAGAAGCCTAATGAGTTCAGTTACAGAACATTCTCCAACACTGCTGATTTCATCAGTTTGCACGTACACCTACATGAAACAGAACTCCACAGCAGTTTCAGCACACAGTTCAAACGGCTCAGTAGGTATTAAAGGCCTAACAATTTAGCACCTGTTGGACTCCACAGCTTCTCCAATATTGTAATCATACCGAACATTTTCTGACACTAATTTTTGTGCAGTATTTGCTTTTCTCACAGCAATTGCTAAAGCCCAAGCTTACAAAGATACGTCATCCAAAAGCACGTTGCAATACAACAGTAAAACTGTGAGCTACCTCAAGCAAGTAAGTGTGTGATATCCAATGAATAGAGCTGTGATCTCCTGAAAGATCTGACATCCCCTGTAACCCCACTGCAGGCTCTCTGTGGTACCCTGGGGATCAGAGTTCACAATGTGGGAACCACAGGTCTGTCCCCTACCCCTGCTGTGTTTTTCTTCATGATTCTTACCACCTACCTATTTTGTGCATTTCGTTCCTCTCCTTTAGGATGTAAATTCCGTAGGGACAGACGTTTTGTCTTTGACAAGTGTTCTATTTCAGTTTCTAAAATGATGCCTGGCATACGAAGGTTCTCAATGGGTATTTATTTTTAATTGAAGGATAATTGCTTTACACTATTGTGTTGGTTCCTACCAAACATCAACAAGAATCAGCCATAGGCTTACCCATGTCCCCTCCCACTTGAACCTCCCCCCGCATCCCACCCCTCTAGGTTGTTACTGAGCCCCAGCTGGAGCTCCCTGAGTCACTGGCTGTCTACTTTACACATGGTCATGTGGTTTCCTTGTTACTCTCTCCTTCCTCCCTGCCAACCACGTCCAGAAGTCTGTTCTCAATGTCTGTCTCCATTGCTGCTCTGCACACAGGTTCATGAGGACAACGGGTGTTTGTTGAAAGAATGGCCAGGTACAGTAGGAGTAAAAAATCTGATCACTTTAAAGAGCAATGACAAAAGCATGGAATGCTGCAATTAATAATATCAAAACTGAAGCATTATTCAGTTTTGAATAAAGCAGTTTTAAGTGTAGCCAAGAAAATGGGTGGCTGCATTAGTGAAACCAACAGAGAATCACCTGGTTACTGGTAAGTCGGCCACATGGATTAATACTAAGGTCACCAAAATGATGGCAACACATGAGATGAAGAGATATGAGTCAGGAACCAAAGAACAAGAAAAACGAAGTATAACCAAACTGAAAATAGTACTATAAAGTTTTGAGGAAGCAGTGTATGTTTATGATGAAACAGCGCTCCTGAATGCAGTTGAGATTTTAAACTTCAGCGTAAGAGTTTTATCTTGTTCACTGTTTATTCCTAGAGCCTGTTATAATGTAAAGACTAATTACTGACCGCTTATCTCATGAGGAAAGCCTCACCCATCCATCTACAGACTGACTCCGAGAGAGATGAAAGAAAGGACTGAGGGACCTGGCGGCCATAAATGTACATTTAAAAAATATCACTCTGATATTTGTATATGAGATAGATTGTAGATGGTCACAGAAGATGTAGAGAAAATGATTAGCAGTAAGTTCTTAATATTCCAAGACAGACAGATGAAAGTTTGGACTAACGAGGACAAGACAGCAACACAGAGCAAATAGAATTAATTTTTTAAAAAGCTGATATAAACAACTGCATCTGAAAATGATCACTTAATCTCAGAGTAAACATACATAATTAAATATCCAAGTCATTTTAGTGTGTAATATATTTTTAATATTTATAAGCATTTTAGAATGTGAATGGGATTTTCATTTGATTTTTTTCAGTTTATAAATCAACAAGTGTAAGAAAAAAAAATAATGAAAGTGTTTTTATCTCCCCATGAACTAGGCCAGGAGATTCTCCAGGTAACTACAAATTATTTAAGGGGTCATCTGTTACATTGTATAATCTATTAGACAAATGATAATATGTATAATACTGAATTCTAAAGCTACTTTTTAACCTTTCACTGTAAATAAACAATGACTCAGGAAGAAGGAACACTTAAGAGAGTAATCTTATGTATTATTAAAAGCAGAAATGAAAAAAAATAAAAAAAATAAAAGGAGAAATGATGACATTTTTAGGATAACAATATTTAAATATTAACCTTGTAGGACTTCAGGTCACCGCCTCTCATGAAAACACCAAAATCACAACTGACTGCTGAACAACCACTGACGAATTAGATTTGAATCTACCCCCAAAGACGTTCTGTACCCACAGATAAAAAAAGAAGTCACAGTGAGATGAGGAGGGGCACTTTCACAACATAATCAAATCCCATACCTGCTGGTGGGCAACCCGTATCTGGAAATAATTACATCACAGATGCTCTCCCACAGGAGTGGGGGTTCCGAGCCCCACGGCAGGCTCCAAGCCTTCGGGGTCTGTCACTGGGGGGAGGAGCCCCCAGCGTTCTGAAGGCCAGCAGGGCTTGCGTGCAGGAGCCTCACAGGACTGCAGGAAACAGAGACTCCACTCTGGGATGGCGCACACGAAGTTCCACGCGCACTGGGCCCCGGGGCAGAGCCGCGACTCCATGGGCGCCTGGGCCAGACCGACCTGCCGCTCCTGAGGGTCCCTCGTGGCTCAGGCAGGGGCGGCCCCAGGAGACGCCTGCTGGTGTGAGCTCCCCTGGAGGAGTCCTGGCCCCACCCGAGAGGATAAACACAAGGAGGAACACACCAAGGTACCTATTAATATCTGATTAAAAATTAACGACGGAGCAAGAATATTAAAAGCAACAAGGGAAAAGCAATGATTAACATATAAGGGAAGCCCCATAAAGTTATCAGTTGATTTTTCAGCTGAAACTCTGCAGGCCAGAAGGGGGTGGCATGATGTATTTATTTAAAGTAATGAAAGGGAAAAGCCTACAACTAGTAATACTCTACCCAGCAAAGCTCTCATTCAGATTTGACCGAGAAATCAGAAGTTTTATAGACAATCAAGAGCTAAGAGAATTCAGCACCACTAAACCAGTTTTACAACAAATGCTAAAGAACTTCTCTATAGACAGAAAAGAAAAGGCTACAACTAGAAATAAGAAAATTACAAATGGGAAAGCTCACCCATAAAGGCAAACACACAGTAAAAGTAGGCAATCATCCACACACAAACATCAAAACCAGTGACTGTGAGAAGAGAAGAGAGTACAAATGCAGGATATTGGAAATGCATTTGAGACCAGCAACTTAAAATATAGACTGCTATATTAAAAATTCATGGTAACCATAAACCAAAAAAAAAAAAAAGAAAAAGACCTACAAAAACAAATTCAAAATAATTAACAAAATGGCAATAAGAACATACATATTGATAATTACCTTAAATCTAAATGGATTAAATGCTCCAACCAAAAAACAGACTGGCTGAATGGATACAAAAACAAGATCCCTATAAATGCTGTTTACAAGGGACCCACTTCAGATCTAGGGATACTGAACGAAAGTGAGAGGATACAAAAAAGTATTCCATGCAAATAGAAATTAAGTAATGACCTTGGAATTCTCTATCTATCATGTTCATGAAATACTTATCTGATATAGCTAGAGCCATGAGATTAATGCTTAAACATGAATAGCATTAAAACAAATTTACATATAAAATTTTGAGGAAAATTTCACAAGCTTGTCCAGTTTAGAACCATTCTTTCTTATGTAGTCCAAAACACAAATCCTATCCAGCAACTGTTACTACTTCAATAAATGTAGTTTCATCCACTCATGATCCTGATCTGTATATTACAGACAACATTCAAAATATCCCCCAAAAGAATATTTCATTAACACCAGGCATTTTCAAATCTGAAAGCTTAAGAAACAAATTTTAAAAACCAATGATAGATAGTTAAAGGGCTCTGAACTTGAAATGCTTTTTAAAATTTTATTGTGTAGATTAAAACTTTGGTTTCCTAGACTCAGTAATATTAAATTGCCTGTTGGGTTTAGTGGCTTCTTGCATCAGTTCCTGCAATTGTCCAATCTGTTCATCACGAAAGTCATCAAGTTTTTCTTCTGGTAGGGAGATTCCAAAACATGCTTTTTCAGTTGAATTTTGTCTGTTTTCATTAGCTTGTTGCCACAGCACTGCTGCATATGCCTAGTAAAAAGAAAAAAAAAAATGAAGGTTATAGATATTAAAACAAGATCTTTATTCATTCATTTAACATTGAAGGACTTAATTCTACCACCAAGTCTTATGCATTTGGAAAATCATACATGAACAATATATAGCTGTGTCTTCACTACTCAGTGATAATTTCAAATACCCTGTATCTTATTAGCATTTTAAGGATTTTACCAAAGTACTGAATCTGAAAATCTAGAAGGTTCAAAGGAGTAGGAGTGATCCACGAATAGGCTTCAGGAACATGCATAAACTACCCAAAAATCATATGCAAGATGGTACGTACACAAAAACACACACAGTTCCCAGGCATAAATTTCATCACATTTTCAAATGGGGAACTATGGGTCTTTATAGGCTTAAAAGTGAGTCTTGAAATTCTTCAGGTGCATTCCTGTCTTCAATTCAAAAACCAATTTAAATCACATTTAGAAACTTCAAACTTTTAAGCTTTCAATATTCAACAAACATCTTTCTCAGAAAAAAAAATTCTGTATTTTTCACACTGTAATTTTTCTCTCATTCAGTGAACCTGATATTATAACCACCATTGCTCAGCACAGATTAACGGCAGACTCTCACTCTAAAATCAATACTATAATCAGGCAGGAAGTAACAGCGCACAAAGGTAAAAAGTCACACGCCCCCTCTGGGTAAGTCAGCACATGAGTGAACTCCGGGTAACGCTGCTACTGTACCTGGTTTAGGACAATTAAATTCTTATAGCTGCTGGATCACCCATCGCCGAAGAAACCTTCATTTTTTCCCTCCGTTTATTTTTATTAGTTGGCGGCTAATTACTTTACCATATCATAGTGGTTTTTGCCGTACATTGACATGAATCAGCCATGGATTTACATGTGTTCCCCATCCCCGTCCCCCCTTCCACCTCCCTCTCCACCCGAACCCTCTGGGTCTTCCCAGTGCACCAGCCCTGAGCACTTGTCTCATGCATCCAACCTGGGCTGGCGATCTGAGAAACCTTCATTTTAATTCCAGGTACTTCAAATAAAACCTTTACTTGAATTGGAAATAATATCTTCTTAATGTTTTATAGAAATCCATTAATATAATAACAAAAAAAGACTGTACACATTCTGAAAGTGAAAGTGTTAGTCATTCAGTCATGTCCAACTCTTTGTGACCCCATGGACCACAGCCCACCAGGCTCCTCTGTCCATGGAATTCTCCAGGCAAGAATACTGGAGTGGGTTGCCATTCCCTCCTCCAGGGGATCTTCTCAAACCTGGGTCTTAAGCTTTGCAGGCAGATTCTTTACCATCTGAGCCAGCAGGGAAGCATTCTAGAGCTTTATAAATCCCACTTCTAAGTATATGCCCCAAGAGCAGAGTTTCTTAACCTCGGTACTATTTATAAACTGTGTAATTTGGATCATACTTTGTAGCTAGCTGGGTGGGAATCTGCTCCACCACTGCAGCATTTAGCAGCACCTCTGGTCTCCCCACCTGCTAGGTGCCTGCAGCGCTCCTCCTCAGTCTTGAGAGTCAAACATGTCTCCGAACACTGCCAAATGTTCTCCTGCAGACACAACTGCCCAGGTTGGGAACTACTCTCCTAACGACACTTTCCAACACGTGGACAAGTATCAAACAAAGAATGTTCATTATGGCACTGTTTATGAGAGCAAAACACTAGAAACAATTCAACTGTACTTCAACAGAAGAAAGGACAAGTGTTTAGACACTTCTTCATAATCCATTATGTGAATTAAATGTCTGTATTGACCTGATTAAATCTCTAAAGTAATCAGAATCCAAAGAGCAAGTTTTTTAAAAAGTTATTCATTTGTAGAAATGGAAAAACCAAAACTCAAATTCATATGAAAATGTGAAGCCTTGAATAGCCAAGACAATCTTGAAAAAGAACAAAGTTGGAGTATTCAGTTCTCAATTTTAAAACTTACTACAAAGTTACACTAAATAATCAAAATAGTGTGATACTGGCTTTGGGGTAGATATATAGACCAATGGAATAGAACTGAGAGTTCAGAAATAAACCCTTACACATATGGCAAACTGACTTCTGACAAAGGCATCAAGTCCATCAATGAGGGGAAAGAATATCTCTTCAACAGATACTGCTGGGAAACTGGACTTCCACATGCAAAGGAGTAAAGCTGCACCCCTACCGCCTACAATATACAGAAACTAATGCTGTAGGATGGATGAAAAACATAAACAAACAAGCTAAAACCATAAAACTCCTAGAAAAAAATGGGTAAATTTTCATGACCTTGGATTTGGCAGTGGAATCTAAAATATGATACCAAAAGCATAAATAAAAAAAGAAAAGATAAATTGGGTTCATCAAAATTAAAAACTTTTGTGCATCAGAAGACACTCAAAGTGGAAAAACTACAGAACAGGAAAAAACATTGGCAAACCATGTCTGATAAGCATTTAATAACCAGAATATATAAAGAATTCCTACAAGTCAACAATAACAAGACCACTCAAAAAAATGGGCAGAAAACTTGAATAGACATTTCTCCAGACACATATAAACCATCAACAAGAACATGAAAAGACACTCAACATAGTCATTAGAGACACAAAAATCAAAATCACAATGAGACACCACTTCATACCCACTAGGATGACTATAATAATAAATAAATAAAAGGAAAATACATGTTGGTAAGAATCTGAAGAAACTGGAAACTTGTAACTACTAGCAGGAATATAAAATAGTACAGCCACTGTGGAAAACAGTTTGGCAGTTCTTCAAGAAGTTAAAGAATTACCATACAATCCAGCTCTATTATAGGTATATACTCTAAATAAATCAAAGCAGGAACTCGAACAGACACTTTTACATCCATATTCATTACAGCATCCATTATTTACAACATCAAGTATGTGGCAACAACCCAGGTGGATATCAACAGACAAATGGATACATAAAACATATCCATACAATGGGACAGTATTTAGGCTTAAAAAGAGTTCTGGTACATTCTACAACATGGATGAAACTTGAAAACACCATGCTAAAACTGAAATAAGCCAGACACAAAAGAACAAATATTGCAGAATTTCACTCAGGTGAAATATGTAGAATAGGGAATTTTATTGACACAGAAAGTACATCAGAGGTTACCAGAGGGTGGGGATGTACTGTTTCTGGGACACAGAGTCTCTATTTGAATAAGAAAAAGTTCGGGGTAAAGACAGTGGGAACTGATGAACAAGACTGTAAATGCAATTAAGGCCCTGAATGTACACTTAAAAGGCTAAAAGGCAAATTTTAAATGCATTTTTACTACACTAGAAAGGAAAGTTATGCAAGGAGTTCTTCCATTAACAGTGAGGAGTGCCTTCTATCAGCCCAGCCCTCCTGCAGGTAACATGAAGTCCAGACGAAACATGGTCAAACAGCAATCCAAAGACACTGGAGAGCAACCAGTCAGGAAGGAGAAAGGATGCGACAGAATGGAGAATGGCCGAGGACAGTGGGTCAGACTGCCATCTATATGACTTTTTTCCTGAGGGGAGACGCCAGTTGGTACTGCAAGGTGACTGAGGACTCACAGCGGTGTGGGAGAACAGCAGGAATTGAAAAAAAATAACGGGCAATCTCAGAAAAAGAACTGCAAAAGAAGAACCCCAAATTCTACAAATACACAGCCACAATCTCTAGTTAACCCCTTAACTGTGCATGTTCAGGACAAAGCTCAGCCGAGGCAAAAAAGAGCTAATATAATTCTTCAACTGGTTCTTTGGGAACCGAGTTCCACCAAGTTAACTGCTTGATGAAACAAATGTCTCTACAATATATATGATAAACAGTGTCCAGAAAAACATCCAAAATCACAAGAAACATGAAGAAACAGAAAATGTGACCGATAATCAAGAGAAAAAGACCATGCCTGAAATGATTCAGACATTAAAATTAGCAGCAAAGGATTCTAAAGTAGTTTTATGAATATGTTTAAATACATAAAAGAAAATGTGGTCATAATAAATGCACAGATCAGAAATCTCAGCAGAAAGTAAGATTCTATAAGAACCAAATGAAAACATTAGAACTCTTAAATGCAGTGTCTGAAACTTAAAAATCTTCACTGAATGTTCAGTTCACTTCAGTCGCTCACTCATGTCTGACTCTTTGAGACCCCATGGACTGCAACACGCCAGGCCTCCCTGTCCATCACCAACTCCCTGATATTACTCAAATTCATGTCCATTGAGTCATTCATGCCATCCAACCATCTCATCCTCTGTTGTTCCCTTCTCCTTTTGCCTTCAATCTTTCCCAGCATCAAGGTCTTTTCAAATGAGTAGGCTCTTCGCATCAGGCGGCCAAAGTATCAGAATTTCAGCTTCAGCATCAGTCCTTCCAATGAACACCCAGGACTGATCTCCTTTAGGATGGACTGGTTGGATCTCCTTGCAGTCCAAGGGACTCTCAAGAGTCTTCTCCAACACCACAGTTCAAAAGCATCAATCTTCGGCACTCAGCTTTCTTTATAGTCCAACTCTCACATCCATATGTGACTACTGAAAACACCATATCCTTGACTAGACGGACCTTTGTTGGCAAAGTAATGTCTCTGCTTTTTAATATGCTGTCTAGGTTGGTCATAACTTTCCTTTTAAGGAGTAAGCGTCTTTTAATTTCATGGCTACAGTCACCATCTGCACTGATTTTGGAGCCCAAAAAAATAAAGTCAGCCACTGTTTCCCCATCTATTTGCCATGAAGTGATGGGACCAGATGCCATGACCTTAGTTTTCTGAATGTTGAGCTTTAAGCCAACTTTTTTACTCTCCTCTTTCACCTTCATCAAGAGGCTATTTAGTTCTTCTCCACTTTCTGCCATAAGGGTGGTGTCACCTCCATATCTGAGGTTATTGATATTTCTCTCAGCAATCTTGATTCCACTTGTGCTTCCTCCAGCCCAGTGTTTCTCATGATGTACTCTGCATATAAGTTAAATAAGCGTGGTGACAA